TCATGCTCAGGAAAACCGCCATTGTTTAAAAATAGTTTTCTGTGAAGCCATAAATCACGGTTACGCATTATATCTTTAAGCAAACTTCGTCATAGCGAATGTCTTGGCAACCTATTGTTCCATTATGACTAAAGCGGTCCTTCCTTGGCAAATATTACTGCTTTATTTTTGTTACAAGATACAAATATAACTTTTTGCGTGTTGATTCTGTTTTAGGAGGGGAAATCCTCGCCCACTCGAACGTGAAAGATTAGTTTTTATGAATATTGTTAACTTCATTATTGCTATTTTTATTAGAAGTACCGTAGTAGTATTGAATATTAATAGTACTGTATCATGTCAGTATTACTATTATTAGCAGACACCTCAACCTGGGATAAACAATAGAGACGTTCCTACATATTTCAATCATTCACATTTTCTGACATTTAAAAGTTGTTTGTGACACTACTCCATATATAGACGGCAGAGTAAGTGCATGAATACTCAGATTAAATATATTTAGTGTGTACAATGTGAGTGCAGTATATATTTAGTTATAAAATACAGGTATAGTAAAGTTCCTGCGGCGTTATGATGGCGGTGTTGATGTTACTACGCTTCATTCACTGAGGTCTTTAGGCGCGTGTTAGAGACTAGTTCATACATTCGGCTCAACCATTAAGTCGCTCCTGAAGTTTATAGCCGTAATGAAGTAAGAATATGAAAGGATTGATTACTGAGAAGAATACACGTGTACACATGGGCCGCATGAAGGAGTTTGTCCACTAATTATGTTTGAACGTGAAAGTGTGGTGTGTCGGTAATTATGGGGGCAACTCGTGGTGTTGTGGTCAGCATACTCTCCTCACAAGTGGTAGCCCCGGGGAGCTCGTTCTTCGTGGGTTATTCCTTGACATTGTGCAATACAGTTCATTAACTTATTGTGTGGCTGTTGTGTTACTGACAACTTCTACACAAATTTAGATACAGATTCGGCCCGAGCAACGCGAGGGTTAGTTTATTGGGCACCCCTTTACATTCTGTGTAAGGCGAAGCGCAGAAACATACAGGGCCCAACAGGAAAGTACACGGCGTTCATTCTTGCCTTCTTAGACTTGAATAATGGGTGGGCGAGAGTGCCCTGAGGGACCATTAGTTTTTTTTTTTTTTTTTTTTTGCAAATTACAAAATTATGGTGAAGTAAGAATAAGTGTATATTGGGAGGACTCCCTGTACAGGTCATCTGTGTAGGCCAAGCGTGGTAAGTCCCTGTACACTTGAAACAAATTAATGCCGAGGTGACCTTAGTTAGGGTCGGCCTAGCTCGGCCATCCTCCGACACGAGGAGCAACCATTATTTTATAATAGATGAACATTTGTAACAGTAAGAAGGGCAGCCTCCAAAATATAGAATTACTGAGAACTGTTAGACTAATGATTGAAAATGTAAGAAGACTGTGAGGGGTCGGACAGTCTCTGGAGAATTGAATGAACGAGAACATAAAGATGGTTACTGTCTGAGCACATGGCAGGTGAGATATTTTTAAGAAAGATTTATTGACAGTTTGATTGGATGTAGAGTGTGAACGGGTGACGAAGGTGTAGATGGACGGGTACTGAACATAGGTGATATACTGTAGCTGAGTCAAGGGGCGTCACGCGAGATACTGCTCTAAGAAGGCCAGACCGTGTTTGTGTTGGCATGATTCAACCTGACAACTCACCTTCATATTAATTTGAATTTGTGAACTAGCGTGGTTGGTATACTGTCTATGCCAGTTGAAGATATGGTTTATGTTTGGAGTAACTTTACTTACGGTCTAAGGCTATTCTTGTTACTTATTATTCTTGTCTTGCCTCGCTACCTCCTATTATTTCCTGACCTTCTTTTAGGTTTATGTCTCCCTTAACCTCCCTATACATTACAAATATATAGAATATCGCATTACTGTATATCTTGGCCTGGACAACACTTCTATAGTTTGGTGGACTGTAGGGGCGAGTTTCTCCCGTTAACACACTTCTCACACTTTCTTGTACCTGATACAATACCTGGTTATTAACTCATACTCAACACACCTGTAGCAAAATTTCCTGAACTATTATAGTCAACGTATAGTTCTGAAGAGAATCTTTTAATGTTACAATTGTCAAATATTTCTTAATGCCAGGTCGGTTTGTGTTTTTCTCCAGTGTATATGCAGGGGTTGGCATGCCAAGGTTGTTAGCCGGTAAACATATCCATCGTAGAATACTGAAACTTCTAAACTTCTTTCATGTATAGTTTTACCGGTACATGATGTGATTGGATTTATAAGCTGGCTAATGGACTTACTACATTTATTGTGGATGACGTGTCCCCCCCCCCTCCACACACACAGACATGTACATAAAGAACATAAGAAAATAAGGAGTCTGCAATAGGCCGGTTGGCCTGTGCATGGCAGCTCCTGTCGAGAGTTACTACCACTCTCTATCATCCATGAATCTATCCAGCCTCATTTTGAAACTTTCCAGCGTTCCAGCACTTACTACAAAGTTGCTAAGCTTGTTCCACTCGTCCACCATCCTATTTGTGAACCAGTTCCTTCCTATCTCCCTCCCAAACCTAAACTTATCCAACTTAAATCCGTTGCTTCGAGTCCTATCCTGCTCGGATATTATAAGAACTTTATCTATATCCCCTTTATTGATTCCTTTCACCCACTTAAATACTTCTATCCTATCTCCCCGCACTCATCGTCTTTCTAGGGAATGCAAGTTTAGTTTCTTTAACCTATCCTGATATGGAAGGTTTCTAAGTCCCGGAATCATTTTCGTCATTCTTCGCTGCACCGACTCTAGTGAATTGATATCTATTCTATAATACGGGCACCAGAACTGAACCGCATAATGGAGGAGGTGCGGCCTGACCAGCGCAAGATAGTTGCAATAAGACCTCTGCACTCTTATTACTTACACTTCTAGATATAAAACCTAATACTGTTTGCCTTATTTCGAACATTAACGCACACCGTTTTCTAGGCCGTAGGTCCGGGCTTACAAGTACCCCTAGGTCTCTTTCACAAGTCGACTTCTCTAGGTTGATGTTGTTAAGGCTTTATACATTGACAGTATTTGTTCTTCCAATATTAAGTACGTGCGTGCATACATATGCACACACAAGTCCAGTTTCCGTTAGTTGGGGTGTAGAATTATGTTTGTGTATTAACTACTGTACTTAGTACTTGCTTGTACACAGACGTGGCTAGTTAGTGCAGTACTTTCCTGTACAGAGTAGCGACTAATTAGTACTTGCTTGTATCAGTAGTAACAAGTATTTCTTTGTATTCAATCGTGTCCAGATAGTACAGTACTTCTACGCAGTGAAGTACTTTGCTGTACACAGATAGCTAGTACATTACTTTCCTGTACACAGTAAGGTACTGTACTGTACACAGTAGATAGTACAGTACTTCCTTCTACGCAGTGAAGTACTGTACTGTACACAGTAGATAGTACAGTACTTCTACGCAGTGAAATACTGTGCTGTACACAGATAGCTAGTACATTACTTTCCTGTACACAGTAAGGTACTGTACTGTACACAGTAGATAGTACAGTACTTCCTTCTACGCAGTGAAGTACAGTACTGTACACAGATAGTACAGTACTTCCTTCTACGCAGCGAGTTACTGAACTGTACACAGTTGATAGCTAGTACAGTACTTCCTTGTATATACAATAGTCAGCTACCTTGTTCTTCCCTCAGTGTACGCAGTAAGTTGTGTCTTCTGATCACTTTACACATTGATAATTATCACAGATAACTCAACCATCAGATTGTTATCACGTTATCAGGTGAGGTTATCTTGAACGTTCCAATCTTGTCACACGATTCAGGTTACAAGGTGCGGCACAAATCACTACCGAGGACATTGCACAGTTTGGAATTTCTCAAAAACTATTGACCCTTTGTAGTATTTAACAATTATTTTTTTTACAGTGGTAACCCTGTAACGCTACCTGGGGTTAGGTTAGGTTAGAATAGGTTAGGTTAGGTTAGGTAAGGTAAACGTTACGGTGGTTAATATTCAGATAAAATAAACTAGGTGGCAAATATTCAGGCGATCCCATTTGATTGTTGATCTGCATTGTTTGACCCTGTGTTCGCGTGTAGGTCATGTGGGCCCCAGTCCTGAAGAGCCTCAGTTCACATAGACCCCATCTTAACATAACCTAATTATTTTATTAGGACTAATTAGATTTTACCCATCTTATCACAGGGGGGCTGGGGCCCATCAGGACAGAAGCCTAATTAGAATGGGGTCTATTTGATCTTCAATCGACTGACCCTCCCCACCACCTTGTCGACTTGTGAGTGTCAGATGTAGGTGTGTGATGAAGATGGCAGCTGTAGGATGGTGAGGAAGACTAGCAGGTGTAGGTGGAGGGTGTAGGAGGTGTTCATGTGGAGATAACAGGTGTAGGTGTGGTCGGTAAGGTGTAGGGGGTGTTTACGTGTAGGTAACAGGTGTAGGTGTGGTGGGTGGGGGTGTACAGAGTGTTCACGTGGAGATAACAGGTGTAGGTGTGGTCGGTAGGGTGTAGGAGGTGTTTACGTGTAGGTAACAGGTGTAGGTGTGGTGGGTGGGGGTGTACAGAGTGTTCACGTGGAGATAACAGGTGTAGGTGTGGTGGGTGGGGGTGTACAGAGTGTTCACGTGGAGATAACAGGTGAAGGTGTGGTCGGTTGGGTGTAGGAGGTGTTTACGTGTAGGTAACAGGTGTAGGTGTGGTGGATGGGGGTGTACAGTGTTCACGTGGAGATAACAGGTGTAGGTGTGGTGGGTCAGTCTGCCTGGCCCACGATTTGTGCTTCACCTGCTGTCAGTCACGGATGTCCCTCACTCTTCACTAACTGCCTCACTCACTCACTTCCAGGTAACTTGAACCACATTCATTAATTTTTGTGTTTTGTTGTTTATCGTGTCTACGTGGAGGTGTGTGTATTAATGTGTTGTTTGGTTGTGTTACAGGCGTGGAGGGTGTAGAGTGACTGAGCGGAGCGCGGCGGCCGGCGCACTAAATATAGAGCTGGCAGAGTGGCGCTCCCGCAGCTCACACTACTGGTGGCGGATGGTGCCACTGCCCCACTTACCTTCACTCCACCACTGCTGCGCCACGCCATCACTCAATATTTCCTCGCCGCTAGCCTCTGGAAGATGGGTTTAATAAGGACCAGCCCACAGATGACGCGCCCCCCTCGGACAGTAGCCTGACTGCTGCCCCCTGACCAGCCGCTGACCCGGCAGGTCACGTGACACCGAAGTGCCACGGTAGTAGTCCGGCAGTGGTGGCCGCGCAGTGGGCTAGTTTAAGGCAAGTGCCACAGTGTGAGATTCTCGGTGCTCTGCTCCACCATACGTGACGGTGTGCTCCACCAGGACAGTATAGTGTTGTTAGTGCCACCAGTGAACACCTTGTAAGTGACCATCGCCCCGCGCCTCGTTTTTCCTGTGGGGGTTCAGGTGATGCTGTAGCCGCCATGCCAGTGCCGCCATCCTCGCCCTCAGTGGGCACCAGGTACCCAACTTACACTCCTTACTCTTCCTACCGAAGTCCGTCCTCGTCCTCGTACCTGGGACGCACCACATCTCTGGACCGCTCCTCCTACACCAGCAGCTATGGCAGCGGCTACGGGAGCGGCTACACCAGCAGCTACAGTAGCAAGTACTCACTCCCGCCTCGACCCTCCTACTCGGCGTCGTCCGACACATACCGCAGTAGTCGTAGCTTACGCCAGTCCCCTGTAAGGCCGTCCTACTCCAGGCTCAGCTCAGATTCTCACATTGAGTCGTCGTCGTCATCATCATCATCGTCTTCTTCTTCATCTTCGTCATCGACTCGTTATACACCTCGCTACTCGCGAGATTCTGCTAATAGAGAAGCGTCCTCCTCGAGAGACTCAGACTACGGGTCTCGCCTCACGTCTCGCGACCGCTCCATCGACGTCGTAAATGGTAACGGCATCGACACCAGCCACTTCGGTCCCTCGCCGTCCTCGTACGCCTGTAACTACCGCTGGGAGTGTCGCGAGAAGAACAAAGATGCCGAGGACGACTCAGCTAACCAGAATGGAGAGGCTGAGAAAGTGCGCATCACTGACCGAATTCGTGCCTTTGAGACGCGCACTTCCGCCCGAGAGAGTGGAGGCTTGCTGGCGGGTAGAGAAAGTGCGGTGTCATCATCTCGGGACAGTGGATTCTCCAGCACGCGGGAAAGTACCTCAAGTCGGGACAAAAGCTATTTGTCAGGTCGCGACAGTAGCGTGTCCCGCCGCCGTTGCGTGCCCATCACCTACTCAGATGCTCCCTCCCGCTCTTCCTCCACCAGGAAGACTTCTCCGGAGGCCACCTCTAGGGATAACCGCGACAGAGGCGAAGGCAACGTCAACTCCAGCGAAGAAAGGAGGCCTTCGGTGACGGAGCTGTGCCGTAAGTACGACACCAACCACAACGTGACCAACGGCGTTACACGACACGACGACGAAGAGGAAGGTAGTGACGGCAGCGTATGCTCGGGCGAGGCTGCTGGCTCAGCTGTCGAGCCTTCGGCCGCCTCCAAGGCCCGCAAGCGAACTGACTCTACCAACCGTAATGATCGAACCGACTCACCCGTCGCCACCCGCGTGGATTCACCCAACCGGTCTCGTGTGCATTCACCCGCTCGTAATCACTTGGACTCCCCATCGAGGACCCGCCTGGACTCCCCGGCACAAAGTCATAAGGAGTCCCCTGCCAGGAGCCGCTTGGATTCTCCCACCCACGTCCATCGGGACTCCCCCTCCAGCCGGGATGGTCGCTCCTCCCCCCTCGTTAATGGCAACGTTGAGAAGGTACGTGAAGGTCCTAACCCTTGTTACCTACACTCTTACATCTCTACCCTTCCCTTACTCTCAACCAACTCTAACACCCACACCCTCCCTAACACCCACACCCCCCCTAACACCCACACCCTCCCTAACACCCACACTCCTCCCTAACACCCACACCCTTCCTAACACCCACACACACCCTCCCTAACACCTACACACACCCTCCCTAACACCCACACCTCCTCCCTAACACCCACACTCCTCCCTAACACCCACGCCCCTTCCCTACAAATACCCGAAGTGTTACTTTTTGTGGGTAGTGAAGGCGGTAGAGTGCAGTACCGGCCAAACTGTCTCCTATTATATACCGATAGCTGAGTGCTCAAGGTTGCTGTGAGCCCTCAGTACCTCCAGGACCCACGGTTAAAACTGCATATGTAGTTCGGATTTGCTATGTAATTTAGGTAGAAGTGCATATTTAGGCCGTGTAAGTGTGTAATAAGAACTAGGAATGTAGGTCAGGCTAAGTCTGTTTTGGGACTATGTTACGTGAGGCACCTTTGTAGTGAAGAGTAAATGGGTGGTAACGCTAATACACCTTTATGTTGTGTAGTCAGAAATGTTGTCATGTTTGTGAGAAGCTGATAAAGATTTAGTGATATCGAAACTCTGATGTAATAAACATTTATGTGATAACAAGAGATTATGTTCTGCCTCACGCACCTGAGTGGTTGTCTGGATAACTAGCGTAGAGCAGTAGTTAGAAACCATAAGTGTAATTATTCGTTTCTACTAAACAACTCCGTGAATACTTGACCTAGTCGGAAACTTTTCATTCTTATTTTGGCTTGGTTCTTTCAGGCATTTAAGTAGCCTTTTTATATCACTAACACCCACACACACCCTACCTAACCTAATCTAACTTAACCTAACCTTTTTCCGTTTGACTAGCCAAAGTGAATTGTGACGTCATCGGCCAATGGTTGTATAGTGAGACTTAGCGATATAGTAGTCGAGTTAGATTTTTAGTATACAATGGAAACCGCTGACCTGTGGTTCAGTTTATTCCTGAAACAAAATATCCACTTATCTAATAACAGAAAAAAATATATTATATCGGCTGTTGGTAATCTCGAATAAGACCACCCAAGAGCGCTGTAGTTTTTCCCTTGACGTCCAGCCTCTTTTGACTGGTCTTGGTCCTCTACTTAAACATTTAGGGAAAACCTTGGATGTCCGTCTCGAGGGTTGGTAGTCCCCGGGGGAGGCTACGGCGCTAAAACATGTATGACAGCAGACACCACCCAGCCCAATAAAACCTGTTTCTCTTAAATTGTTCTCATGTTAGACTCGGTAAGGTTAGGTTAGGTTAGGTTAGGTGACCATCAGATTTAGGGAAAGAGCACTTCAGTCACCTTAGTGATGGTGAGATGCTAGTTATGGTGACCGTTTATGTTGCGGTGAAGATAAGTGTGTGTGTGTGTGTGTGTGGTGATGCCTCCTTTTGTTACTGTTTTATTCCCAGTAACATTTCCTGCCTCCTTTAACATGAGTATCAAGCCAAAATCAGTCTAGACCTTTAACTGGTATTTAATATCACGTGTGACATTACTTAACACGCACATGAAGTAAAGAAATATGACAAAATATTTACAGTTCTCATCATTAGCGTCTAACTTAGAGTAACACCTCAGACCTGTATACCTCAGTGACACTGTTATATCTCACGTGACAATCACCACAACGATTGTTTGTTGTCTGGCCTATATCACTGTCGGTATCCGTTGATCTGTACAATACTCTCAAAAAATTAATGTACTATATAAAGTCACTCATCGAACGTGTTTGTCCTGGCTCTGGTTTATAGTGTTAACTGTAGAGAAACAAATAGTTGGTGGAAATGTTTGGTTACTGGGCGATTGAGGCTAAATTGAGCCTCAGGTGTACTCGGCCCCAAGTTAATCTAACCGTAAAATAAGGATTGGATCGTCTTTGAAGTGAATCTAATTAGGACAATGGTTGGTTGGTTATACGTTTATATTATTATTATTATTATTATTATTATTATTATTATTATTATTATTATTACATGTATTATTATTGTTATTATTATTATTATTATTATTATTATTATTATTATTATTAGTAGTAGTAGTAGTAGTAGTAGTAGTAGTAGTATTTACAATCGCAAAAAGGGTATTGGATATCATGTATAAATATGATAAAGTTGTCTAACTGTGGTGGATCTTGGGACCTGCGCTGTGGATTCCGGTTTAGCGCCAAAAAAAAACTCGTAAACAAGAAAGCTTTCCCACACGCTATTCCTTCAGCGTCTCACTACTAACTGTTAGCTCCTCATGTTCCTCCTCCACCGCTATTATAAACTGGAGGATAAAGTATTGTACACATAAAGTAACTCCTGTCTCGTTAGCATTTAAGTGATGGCTTACCTAACCTAACCTAACCTGACCTGACCTAACCTGACCTTGCATAGTTATGGAATGAGTCATTTTTACACGGCCTGCAGTACGGAGATTTGCATTGTCCTCCTTCGTCACCGGAAACAACATTTAGAGGCACTCATTGTTATGGTGTGTGTGTGTGTGTGTGTGTTTGTTAAGCGTTCATACAAGAGATGACACAAACACAAGAGACACATTCAGATCTTCATACAACATACAGCACTCAAGTAATCATACAACATTCAGGTTCATCACAACATACGTCACTCAGATCATCATGCAACATTCAGTTCATCACAACATTCAAGTCAACACAACATACATTACTCAGGTCATCACAACATAAAGCATTCAGATCATCATGCAACATTCAGGTCATCACAACATTCAGGTCAATGCAACATACAACACACCGATAATAATTATTCGTGACCTGACTAATATAGGGATTAACAAAGGTAAGGGAAGGAGGAAGTGAGAGAGGGAGGAAGGGAGGTAGGAAAGAAGGAAGAAAGCAAGGAAGGAAAGCTAAGGGCGGGAAGGAAGGAAGGGTTGAGGGGGGTGGGGGGGGGGGTAACAGTGAGTGTTGGGAGAGTTGGCAAGTAGGACATGAACCGCTCTGCCAACACATGTTACCCACACCTGCAACACCAGTCCCTCCACTCTATCAACAAACACCTGTAACACACACACACACACACACACACACACACACACATACACACACACACATAAACCCCATTACCTGTAGTCAGTATTTAACACAGGCAGTGGGAGTACTTTACCTAGTTAAGTTATCTACAAGTGCACTAGATGTTTGGGTCGCGAAAAACGGCCAGTGTGATCAGAATCTACATGTTGGTCCATAAACAATAACACGGCTGTGGAATCAGGTAGAAAGTATCGACCAAAATTATTTCCAAGTGGTGACAGTATCATAAACTTAGATATGGTAATAAAAGCATCTTGATAATTATAACCTAGTCATAGTAATAGAATCATCGTTCTTCATAACCACCGCAGACACAAAGTAAACATTACCCACGCTATGTACTGAACCTTTCCTGTTCACTTGTGTGCCAGAATGAAGCGGCATCTTGTTCTGCCGGCACACTCACGAGCGCTCATGAATGCTGCTTGAACTTACTGCACGCGGATGCACAATCGTGAACACTCGCGGACACAAATCTAGTAACCATGTACATGTTTGTGTAATACAGATGTTTATTGTGTGTTGTCATTATAAACAGTTTACTAAATTACTTTCTCCTGTGCTGTTTCATTTAAGTCGCTCGATTAGTCATCTGAGGATGAGTTGAGAAATCCCAGATGTTGAGACCAGACCAGACCAGACCAGACCAGACCAGAGTGTATAAACCCAAGTTTAACGAAAAACCTTGGACCTGAGGAATTAGGGAATTAACGCAGCGATGTGTGGAGTGGCGGAGATGATTCAGGAAGTTAAGCATGTAAAAATAAAGATAATTAAATGAAAGTTAAATTAAGTAAAAAACGAGTATATAAATCAGATCTAAACGTCTCACTTTGGGAATAAAACAAAATAAGGCATTAACGCAGAGATGTGTGGTTTGGTGGAGATGATTAACAAATACATTATCAGAGAGATTCTCTTACTCGAGCTATAAAAGTTGTGTTGTGTAGCGGATACGACTTGGTGAACGGTGGGTGGCGCTGTTGAAACACATAAATTAACTTAAACAACAACACGAAATACACAATGTTAAAACTATACATAGAACACTGACACTGTCTAAGAAATTAATGGAGAATACAATAATAAATGTAATAGTTTATCACCGAGGACTTGGTCACTAGTGGTGTGTGGTGGAGAGAAGACATATTGGCTGTAACTGTGACAACGAGTTAATGATAAATTTATAAATAGGTAATTAGAAAATGGACTAGACATTATAAACCCTGTCTTGTTGATTTTATTGAATTTTGGACGAGACTTGAGTCAGTAATTTAGGCTATATTATCCCCATAATGTGATGATGAGTGCATATCTACTTAGCAAGGAGGAGAAGCAGCTGATTCATACAAGTATTTTGACAGTGATGCGAGTCGATAGTGTAGTGACGTTCTTACCGTGAATTTAGATCGAGATTAAATGATGCTGATTAATGTAACAGTTGAAGCGTCTGAAACAAAAAGAGACAACTGTATTATTTATTATTTGTTAATATAATAATTCACACCTCCTGTATGTGTTAGTTATAGTGTGTGTGTGTGTGTGTGTGTGTGTGTGTGTGTGTGTGTGTGTGTGTGTGTTGTACTGTACACCCAGGACTCTCAAAAATGGCTTCCTTGAATTTTCCTCGTAATTGCCTAAACACCACACGTATTCTGACTTAAGAGAATAAAGTAAAAAATAGCATCATAATTACAATGAGACCATAACTATAGTCTGAGTACCGGCTCTTAATGCTATTTATGAGACAACATTAAAGTACATATTATACATAATCTTGTGAATGGAGAGCCAGATACTTTATGTTATAGGGGAAACGAGGAAAAAGTCATGGCTGTGTATGTGCT